GCCACCGTGGGCTCCTGTATTTTACCAGACGAATTGCTTGCCATGCCTATTGCTTCGCTTAAGGACAGAGCAGCCTCTACCCTCTAACAACCGTCCGGCGTTTACAGTTTTCGGCGGGCACTAAACACGGCCATCCCACACAACAAGACCGCTCCGCTGCCAGCCACTAAGGACACGGCAGTCGCCGCCTCCTGGGGACACCCCGAGCTCCTCCTTCCTCGAGGGCACCTGGACGCTTTCCCAGCAGGAACCGCCCGTCTCCCCCTTCAGCCCTCACCCTGGCGCGAGGGCTCCACGGTGCAGGGTCCCCAGCATTGGTATTTCCGTCGCTTTTAAAAGCAGCTCAAGCGCCACACGCCTCCCGCAACGGTCACTCCCAGCGCCAAGCCGCCCGCAGCTCAGCTCAGCTCGGCTCAGCTCGGCTGAGCTCGGCTCAGCCCAGTCCTGCCCGCTGGCACCTAACCCGGGTTAGGTACCGCGCAGCCTTAAAGAGCTCCCTCTTACTCCCGCGTGTTTAGAGACACCCCTCTGCCCGCAGGACGAGGGGTTGGACCGGGGCGCTACGTTACCTCCGCCGCGCTCCCCTGGGAACGGCCGCGGAAAGGCGGGAACGGCGCCGCTGCTTCCTGCCCGCGCCAGGAAGCGCCTTGTGCGAAACGCCTTGTGCCGAAGCGCGTCCCCTCGCGCGCGCCGTCGGCGTTGCCTCGCCGCGCTCCGTAGCGAAGGCGGAAGCGCTGCGCGCCGCGCGCGTCTCGGCGGGGATGGCGTGGGCGGTGCGGGCGGCGGCGCCGGCCGGCCTCGGAACCGCCACGTGCGGCCCGTGTCCAGCCACGTCGGCTCCCGGGCCTTCCAGGACACGGGCAGGAGAATCAGCCCTGCGGGCGGGAGCCGCGCGCTTTCGGGCGGCGGGAGGCCGCGGCAGGGCCTTGCCGCGCTCCCGGGGCACCGCGGCCGGCTCAGCCGGGTGCCCGGGGGCAGCGGCGTCCCTGGATCCCGTGAAGCGCGGCCCGCCTCGCTGCCTCCCAGCGGCTCTTGGCCCGCTCCTAGCGCGTTTACGTGGAGAACTTGTGCCGAAGCTCGCCGGGTTTGGCACGGGGCGCCTGCGAAAGCCTTGCTGTCCTTAGAAGCAGCCAGTGTACTTTGGTTTAGATACTTGCGAGAGACAGCACTTGTTTGTTCTASTAATACTTGTGCCTGAATATTTGTGTCTGAACACACTGGTTTTTATGTGATGGTTTTACTTAATGCTGGGAGTGATTAGGCCATTTCCAACACCAATAACAATTTACAGGTGCAACGTGATTTATCCGTGTTGACCTACTGTACTCCAAAAACACCCAAATATTTTAAGTGTACCACCAATATAATATTTAAACAGAGTGCTAAAAGCTTACACCCAGATATATGTCCTGCACTGGAAAGGGGACAAATCTTGTCTCTTRACACAGACCTCTGTAAGAATATCGATGTTGGGGTTTTACTGATCTGCCAAGTGTAGATCTGCATACAGTTGGTCAGGGTGACAACAACCGTGGAAAGACTGGCTTTCCAYCTCAGGAACCCCAAACACGGTGTTGATTTCACAGTGCTCCCTTCTCCCCATAAGGATGTTAAATCTTAGCATGGAGAGCTAGGCTGTGAGGAGGCATCCCTGACATTGCAGGGAATTGCAGAAAGCATAACTAGCGTGTGTGTGACACCAGCCTGGTTTAGGATTTAACTGTGAGTTCAGTACGTTTGCAGTAGCAGGACATGTGTTATTTGCTCTGCAACAGTTGCATGTGCATGGTTTTGCACCAAATCTGTCTTCATTCTTGTTTGTKTGCTTGTGCCGTAAGTATGGCAATGCCTCTGAAAAATGAAAATTGGAACACRTTTTATGTCAGTATTTCTTTCATGGTTTTGTTTCAAAGTGTATTGGTCTGTTGAAATTAAAAGCAGGACATGTCCCATYTTGTGTCAGCAAAAGGTAAGCCTGGTGTAAGCTTTCCTGTGCAACTGCCCTTGGTGGCTTTAGGCGACTAATCCTCTCTTTGGGGGAYGTTCAGGCAGGCTTTGCAATCCCGCTGTGTAGGACCTCTGTGCTCAGCCCTTCCCGTGCTGGCGGCGGCTGAGCTGCCAGCGGCCTCTGGAAGCGCCTCCTGCGAGAGGCTGGAGGGTCGTGCAGAGGCTGGAGGGGCCTCAGGAGCTCAGTTTTTCTGGGCCCTGCACTAATGAGCTCAGTGTCAGCTCAGTCTCTTCATTGCCTCKTTATCAGGGCATGTATTGCATTCAGAATTTCCATTGCAGTCTTCTTTGACAACACTTATTCTAAAATTCTGGGGGAAAAGTGGGTGCCGGCGTTGAGGCTGACAATTTAAAGTTCTTGCTTTGGACATTTCTCTGAATGTGAAATGAATACTGCCTTATTTGCTGCCGTTCCAGTGAGAGGATCTGAAGGGCTTTATATGGTGAATGGGCCTCCCAGTTTCACGGAGAGTACAACGTTTCAAAGGTACTGTCGTTCAGGCATTTTACATCTTTCACACGTGCGCACACACACACAATAGTAAATGTAAACTCTGCAATTCAAAAATTTAGAAGAGCAWGTGGATTTTTTCTTCCTGTCTGTAGTTTAGAAAATTGATAACTTTGGAGGTTGAGCTTTGGATAAATTTGGAGGTTGAGCCTGMCTTCTAATTGGCCTTTTGTAATTAAAAGCAATAATGACTGAACAACTACAGGGTGTGTTGCCCTGTTACTGCTGCAAAGGTTTATTCAGATACGCAGCTGGCGAACTGAAGTGCTGCTTTTCACTTTTGTTATAAGTAACTTAACTTATGCAGTGTATTTGAATATTAATGTGCTTTTCTTATTTCTCTAGGGATTCTGGAAAAAATTGCAAAGCTGTTGCTTTTAGCAAGGATGGTTCCCTCTTTGGCTGGTGCAATGGAGAAAAGTTAGTGTGTTTTATGATATTAATCATTTATTGTGAATCGAGCAAGCTGGGTCAGTTTTGCTGCATTTTCTCTCATGCGCCTAAGGGCCATGAATGAAAATGTTTGTGTGTTACTTTAACAGCATTTTGATTTTGAACTGTCTGCTGCGGTGGCTTTATTTTCTGTKTATCGGGTGAAATATTTACTGTTTTCCCAAATTTGTAATGCACCCATTGCTGTGGAATCTGGATATGCTCTGTGAAGGAGTTAAGGTTGCCCACTMTAGTAGTATCTGACTGCCTGGGACTAGTGCAGGCAGCACAAGCCAGAATTGCATTGCTGCCTCCCAGGTAGACTCTTGGCTTTTCTGCCTGCCTTTCGTCTCTATGATAATGTGGGTTTTTTTTTGAATATTCTGGGTGTCAGCAGGTGCAGGACTGCTGTCAGAGATGCTGTTTGACTTCACTAGTTCAGCTTTTTGACCTTTGATTTTTATTGTCTGTGTATCTTCTCCCTCCCCAGATCCAAACCTTTAATGTAGAACCCTTATAGGCAGAAGAACTGTGAAAATGTGTGGGCTAATGTATGTTTTAATTCTGTTAGAAGATTTCTCTGTTGCCCTTGCTTGGCCTTCATACTGTGGAGTAGTGGATGAAAATACCTTGTCYCTGATTCAGAATCTACATGCACAGAGCAAAATACACGGTGTTTTGACCAGGATTTTCACTTGCTCAGTTTCTGTTACACTTGGACATCTGTTTTAAAATATTCTTACAAATATTTAGTCAAAGCAGAATGGGGAAAAAATCCCTCTTCTAATTTTGTTACCCTGGCCAAATTTGGAATAGATGGAGAAGTCAAATCTTAAAAAAAAAAATTACCTTGGCTGTTAATTAACCAGTCTAAGTACGTTTTATTGAAATGACCTCTTTTGATTCCAGAGTAAATATTGTTAATGTTGCCAGTGCTGAATTACTGCGTTCTTTTGATCTTCCAAAGGCAGTTTGCCTTGAATTCTCGCCAAAGAATAAYGTTCTGGTGACATGGCAGGCCTATTCAAGTGAGTATTTTACCGGCTGCAAAAATACAGAGATAGTTGCATGTCTTCRCTCGTTTTGCAGACTTTTCACCGCCTGGTTTGACATCCTGGCAAGTTCATTGGCTTTGGGGGTAAACCCAAAAGGAGGTATAGGAACCGTACAGGTGCTGTGTGGTTAATCAGGTACCTAGCAGCGGAGGGGGTGCTGTGTCCTGAGGGTGTTTGGTATCGAGCCTTCCTACAAGTAGCAGATCAAGATGCATGTGTGGTTATTACTCTGTTAAGTAAATCCCATGTTTCTAAATGTTTTTAACTGATCTTAGTGCTTTGACTGAGARTGTCTTTGCCTATCATGCTGTTCCGGCAATTTCTATTGTCTAAACAAAGAAAACTGTAAGCTGCCCCAGAGTAATGGTGTCCTGCCCTGAGCTGGCTAACATGGAGTGTTCCCAGCTGGGGTTTATCTGCTTCTGAGCCTGTGGGGAATCATAATCCTGACCTGCCCAATCTGAGTCTTTCACAGGTGGTGTGACTGTAGTGTGTGCTGCAAGTGCTCCCTGTGGTAGAAAGGGCAGCCTCAAMGCTAGCGTGTGGGAAGTGTCCGGGGCAGGTAGGACAGGACAAACGCCCGGACTGACAGGAGACCCTTTGAGCTCTTTTCCACCAATGATTCATACAGGCAGCCCAATGACTGTAGTGCTCAGAGTGAGTAAAAGGGTACAGAGAGTTTAAAACCAACAGAGAGACATTTTATGTAGTTTGTAGACACAGCTGTGAATGATGTGAGGGACAAAGTGTGCAAYGCGTCCCTAGGAGAACAGAACCTAGCAGAGGAGACTCTGCTTGCCATTTTTTGCCAAGAAGGAGCGTTTTTAAAGCTCTGTTTTAATTAGAAAAATGTACTTAAAAAGTTACGCTAGTGTTGGTGGCACTAGTCTTGTTCCCGTCTATAGAAGTAACAGCAGTAACCCCGAAATACTGGGTTACTTGCAGGCTGAAAGACCATAAACAGACTTCAGTTAATAGCTGAGGCAGTTAGCAGGTTTGGGATTAGCCCCTTGGGTATAGGGTGTTTGTTTGTGTATATTTGATTGCTTGTCATGATGTTGCCATTAAATGTAATTTTAGTTAAAACAGATTTAATGAAATGTGTTTTTGTTGCAGCTGCTAAAGATGGCACAGCAGGGGTGCCCAACCTGCAACTTTATGATTTGAAGACCGGAAAATGTTTAAAGTCTTTCATCCAGAAAAAGATGCAGAACTGGTAAATAACATTTCCAGCTACTAATTGTTTTCAAAGAAGTGTATTTTCCTTATCTGATCTAGGTAAATATGGTATGGGTTTTAGTATGGTTTTGGTTTTCAAAGTATTGCCTGCCACAAGCTGAAAGCAAGTATCCGTGCTTGTAAATATCTTTGTACATGGTTGTTCATTTCTTAGTATAAATTCACTGTTGTTTTGCAACATGAAGTAAACAGAGGAGACAGCAACTGTAAGTGTAGTTGTGTGGGGATTTTTTGTGGGTTTTTTTTTTGTTTGTTTGTTTTGTTTCTGAGCGTTTTTTTTAACCAGGAAAATGCTTTTTGAATGTTTGAAACATTTAGCATCATTGATCTAGCTTGGCTTGATAAAACAAAGGAAAAAAAAAATAGACTGCTAAAGATGGCCATTATTCGCTGTTCCTTCAATTCTGCCTTTTTTTAATTTTTTTCTTAAATGTAGGTGTCCTTGCTGGGCTGATGATGAAAGCATCTGTGCCAGGAATGTAAACAATGAAGTGCACTTCTTTGAAAACAACAACTTTAGTACGCAAGTATTTCAATAAGATGATTTCAATAAGATAGGAATTGTCCTTTGTTTTTGGKTTTTTTTTACAGTTTTCCTATTTCTCTCTTTTTAAACTTTTTTTTTGTTTTAAACTAGCTTTTACAGGATTAATAATCTTGTATGAAGATGTTCACCATTCTTTTCTATTAGAAAAAAAATAAAACCACAGTGCCTGTCAGTCATTGTACAGAAGAAAATACTTTCTTASTCCTGTGGTGTTTTGCATGCTGAACTTGTAATTGCTTTAATTATTTTTTTCCTCCTCATTTCTGATGCTTGGTATATTTAGAGATGATGGTAGGAAAGCAACGCTGCAAATGCTGTATATTTACAGTGCATTTTTATTAGAGCCATGTAAATGTCTCCAGCATTAGCAGGGAGACAGTCCATGAAATGAACTTGCAGTTCAGCTTGAAAATCTTTATTTAACTGCAGTTACCAAGCTTCCTTCTTAGGATTTACAAGTAATGGACATTAATCTTGCCCAACCCCCTTGCAAGGGGCTTCTTGTCATAGCGGTAGTTTCCTGTGTCCACATCCTCATGGATGCTGGCTTTTACTTCATTTTACTGAAATGAAAGAGCTGTTGTCTATTTTTCTTGTGCTAAAATACTATTTAATTATTTTTCTGGTGTTTGTAGGCACCCATGTCCTCTTCCAGTTCACCCCGTCACTATCCTAGAGAAGTCCTGACTGTGTTGTAATGTGAGATTTGCTGCTAGTCCCCAGTCTTCTCTGAGGGAATGTGGTTATGGGTTGTTGCTTGTTCATTTTTTAAGAGCAYCGAAGATGCAATTCCCCTAATTTCTTTGTGTAAAGACTGCTGCCTAATGCAGAACAGACCCTTATGAAAATTTCATATTAGGAAGACACATGCAGTAAAGCTGCAGGGAGGAGAGCCCCTTGTCTTTGTGTAACAGTACATGTTAGCTGGACGTGACCGCTGCTGCTCTTCCTCAAGTGACACAGATAAGATGAATACCACTGTCACTTCCTTAAGACATGAGCTGTGTTCACACGAGCCCAGAAGTTTCYTTGTTGTTTGAACTTCCTAATACTGCACTGGGTTTCAAAGCTAGGCTTCACTCAAATGATTACCAAGATGCTTTTGTAAATAAAAAGTGATCTAATCAGAAATGCGGTATGATGAAATGTGAAATTAAAGGTTGCTTGACTAGTAAAGCTCTTTTATGCAATACTGTATTATCTATAATATAGATCAAAAAAAAGGAATGGTTAAGAAATCTGGGTTAACATTGTGTCATTAACTTCATCACAACTATGACTTTCTTTGCAGATACTATTGCAAATAAACTGCATTTGCAGAAGGTTAGCGATTTTGTGTTATCTCCAGGAGCCCAGCCAACCAAGGTATTTCTGATGTTTGTTCACAGTCCTTCAAACTTGGTGTTAATTTAAACATGGTGCATGAGTAGAGCCTAGGTCCCATGCTGCTGATAGCACCAGCCACTGGGTGATCCGCTGCTTTATTGCAGGTTGCTGTGTACGTTCCGGGCAGCAAGGGCGCGCCATCTTTTGTCAGGCTCTATCAGTATCCCAACTTCGGAGGTCCTCAGTCTGCACTGGCCAATAAAAGTTTCTTTAAAGCTGACAAGGTGACAATGCTATGGAACAAAAAAGGTATAGCAATATTCAAGTTACAATTCTGAATATTCTGAAGTGTTGATAACTTTCCCGTATTGACTTGTTTGATTTTGAGTACAGTAACACAGAATATTCTACACGTCTGCGAATGTTGCAATTGATTTGTGAATTTAAATCAAGTTTTGTGATGATAGCAAGTTTAAGATGTAAGCATAAGACTATATCAGAGCATAAAACATTCTTACTTTCCTGTAAATCTGTATTTATACAGACATTTAACAAATGGAATGACTTGCACAATCCTTTGCATGCTTTGCTGTTTGTGAGCAATGATAGTTGTTGACGAATGTGTTGCACATTGTTTAGATTACAGGGAAGATGTTGCATAACTTTGTGCCCACGTGTGATTGGTGCGTGTTYGCGTAAAGTAAATGTACGTACCGAAGCTATTGATGAAATACTTCACTTGCAGATTGATCAAGATGCTTGGTCTCTGCCTTAGATGAAAAGCTGAAGGCACTCATGCTGCTGTTAGAACATAATAAAACATATTTTTTATGCCTGAAAAGTGAATTCACTTCCTTATAATGGAACGGTAAATGAGTGGGCTAAGTGGACTTAGCTTATCCAAAAATGTAAGATAGCAGTTCTGTTTAGGTTAACGTTTAGGAAATTTTCCATTGAGAAGAGAATGATAAGCAGCACTGGTATTTGAGCAATTTTAACTGCAGAATTGACAGTCAAACTGATTTCCTCTTAATCAGTGATAGTTTGTGAAATAGGTTGTGGTTTGTAGGAATTCTACTGAACTAACTGTATGTCTATTCTGTTAGCCACTGCTGTGCTAGTAATAGCAAGTACAGAAGTTGATAAGTCAGGAGCCTCATACTATGGAGAGCAGACTCTGCACTACATTGCAACAAATGGGGAGAGTGCAGTCGTACAGCTGCGTAAGTACCTTTYGGGCAGGTATGCTCTACGGTAGCATTTGGTAGCAGCAATTGCTGTTCCATCAACTTCTACCTAGCGTATGATCTTTGGGGTTGATACAGTGAAGAACTCAAGTTTTTAAACAAACAAAAATAATCATCCTTTAGTGGAGTTTTATTTTATTTCCTTTTTTTTTCCCCCAATGCTTTCAGTTAAAATAAACAGATGATTGGTTTGAGTGAGTGTTCATGTGTATAGTGCGGGAATTTGTTCATTAGGGAATGGGCTGCATAGAGGAACCAGATTAATATTCAAGAATCCAAAACGTTTTGGATGTTGCTAAACAAAATAATCCTGCTTTTAGATGTGTGCTTTTAGACGTAGTTATGCAAGGAATGGGGGGCAAAGTGAGCACTGGGGCTGAAAGAAGATGGATTTCCTTTTGACTTGCATCTTCTGGTTGCTTTGAAGGTCCTRTTTTGGTCCAGTTGGTCCAATTTTGAAGCCTTTTTTTTTATATTTTGGCACTTGTCTCTGCAGTCAAGTCAAGATCTGATTAACATCATCTAAAAATTTCTAAAGGGATAAATGCCACGGTGGGATTGCATAGCACAGTTTCTAAAGATAACGAAGCTTTAAAATAGCAGGAATCAACAGTTCAAGCTGCTATGGTATTTTTGGTCAATGTGTGAATTTAAGAATTTATTGCAGTTGGCACTTACAAGAGGTCTAAGTGAAGGAGCCCAGATTAGGAGTGTTAAAATGAGATATGTTTTTTATTCACCCTTATACATTTTACATGAATTTTGGTCATATATCCATCTTTCTTCAATGGGCCTTAATGTTCTGGCCCCAGAGTAGTTTCCAGCAGCATGTAATTTTAATCAGAGTGCATAAAAATATCTTTTCCCACTTAAAAATCCGTCTTATAAAATTCTTCACGTAAGCATAGTCCTAAGATAATTTAGATTAATATTTCTTAGCTATGTGAACCTAAGTTATTTAATGGTTCTTGAAGTTAAACAGAAAACCCCTAGTATCCAGCTGGTATAAAACTCCTGTTTTTGCAGGTTTCCAGTGGGACAGTTTGAGAAGGTCCTGAGATATCATACTTGAATAACGAGGAAAAAAAAGATAAAGGATTTTTTGTACATGAAAAAGTATGCTTACTGTTAAAGTGCTGRTGCTGACCCTACAGAGGTAATTTGAAATGGCTGCAGTTATTGTTGCAAACCTTATCTCACATTATCAGAATATAAGATGGTTTTTATTTCTGTCCTTATTCTTAGTAGACTTCATTCTTGCTGTTAATAATTTGACTATTGGAGTTTAGCAAAATACAAAAATAAGAATCATTATTGGTATCTTAGCAGGGCAAATGAAAATTTCATAACAATAGCTGCATTTTCCTTTTCCTTTAGCAAAAAACGGTCCTATTTATGATGTTGTTTGGAATCCCAATTCTGTCGAGTTTTGTGCTGTGTATGGTTTTATGCCTGCCAAAGCAACAGTTTTTAATCTGAAATGTGACCCTGTGTTTGATTTTGGAACTGGCCCTCGCAATGCCGCCTACTACAGCCCCCCCGGACACATCCTAGTGCTAGCAGGATTTGGAAATCTCAGAGGACAGATGGAAGTATGGGACGTTAAAAACTACAAGCTCATTTCTAAACCGGTGGCGTCGGATTCCACATATTTTGCCTGGTGCCCCGACGGGGAGCACATAGTAACAGCAACGTGCGCCCCCAGGCTGCGYGTGGGCAACGGCTACAAGATCTGGCACTACACGGGCTCTGTTCTGCACAACCACGAGGTGCCATCGAAYGAGGAGATATGGCAGGTGTCCTGGCAGCCCTTCCCGGAGGGAGCGTTTCCCGCGAGGGCGGTGAAGTACCAGGCAGTGCCCAGCGAGCTGCCGAGCGCGGAGCCCAAGGCTGCGCAAGCGTACAGGCCTCCCGCCCTGAGGAACAAGCCGGTGACCGCTTCCAAGCTGGTGCGTACGCTGCTCCCTCATGTTGTAAGCTTCGCTAGGAGTAGTAAGTTCCATTGCTGTGGCCATCTTTGAGGCTTGTCTTCAGACATAGATGTGTTTTTAATGAGGGACATTAGAAGAGTGATCAAACTCAAAGGATATTGTGGGTTTCTGCAAGGTTTTTTTTTTTTTTTTTTTGATAATCTTTCATGACCAGCCTTCTCATTTGAAAGAACTTATCCTAGAAAACTGAAATTTTCTTTGGTCAAAACATTCTTCTTCCACAAAGCTGTTTGCAGGCTTGAAAGCTGCTGCCCGCAACGAGCACTAGAACGATGAACTGCAAATTGGTGTCCAGGATGGTTAAGGACCTTGGTTAAAATACGAGCTTCAGCTATGGGTGACCAGCTTTCCAAAGCCAGGCAGATGGGGGTTGACTCCCCTCCCGAGGGCTCTGGCCCCCTCGGATTAGGCAGGTTCCCTTGCTGGAGCTGGACATGAAGGAAGCTGCTCGGCTGCACTCTGAGCAAGATTCACATAGTGACCTACTTTTTTAATTAGTTCTATTTTCTGTCAGTTTTCAAAGTAGGTTGAGTGAGGCAGATAATTACATTTAATAATTGTAGCCTTAGTGTTTAAATTTACACCATAGAGAACTTTGAATCTTGTATTTTTAAAAAAGTGGTTTCTGCTTGGCTTGTGAAGTATCCATTAGTCATGCTAATGTCTGATTTCACCAGTGGTTGATAAGCGGAGAGAGTAAAGACACATTAAATAATTACATTCACTTTTATGGGCAGGAAATTAAAACTGGTAGGTAAAATATGTATTTTTAAAACTATTTGTGTATAAGCTTGTCAGACTACTAAATCAATTATAAAAATAGATTTGAGCATCTTTGGGAAGTAAGTACTTTGTTTACACTTTTTATTTCCAGTCATTTATGGGAGAATGAATATTTTATTATTCTATTTACTTTTCTTCAGAAAGCTGGGTAATAAAGTCTGGAAGTCTGGTCTCTGCTCTCAGCCTGTCCTGTATGTTTAGCTCTTCGCTCAGGGGCAGGATTGTTCCCGCCAAAAAGCAGCAAAGGTTGGGGATGATAAAGAAAAACCTCCCCCCCCCTTTTTTTTTTTGTAATAAAAAAAGGCAAACCCAACAACCAGCTCTTCTTTTCACTGGGAGTTCAAGTTAAAATGTTGCTGACAAAAGCAAAATGCTGAACTTCAGTCACTGTACCATTTTATTCCTGTCTGAATGTTGTTTCTGAGACATAAAACATGATGATTCTGTTACCTTGCATCTGTGAAGTTGTGAAGTCCTTGAGAGATGCTGGACAGTCCAAAAAGAAAAACCTRGAGACTGGGAGGCTTTGAAACCCATTTCACAGTGTCTCCTGATGCTGAAAGGAAGGAGAACAGGCAGGACACACTGTGTTTCTTCCTCTTCCTTCCTGGTTCATCTTCACATATGCTGATGCCTTTAGTAGGTTTGGGGATCCAGTGTGTGGAGTTTTCTTTGGGAGGGTAAAATCATGTTTATCAATACAGAACAAAGGTTTCAAGAATATTAATTTTGTCTCTTCTCCAGCATGAGGATGAGCCACCTCAAAATATGAAACCACAGTCTGGAAGCAGTGAAAAGCCTCTCTCTAAAACTGCTCTCAAAAATCAAAGGAAACATGAAGCGAAGAAGGCTGCTAAACAGGTATTACAAAAATAGTTCTTTTAAGGTAAAGGTTACATTAATTTTCACAAATATGATGATCTGCGTTCAGAGCAATGGCTGTTAGTTGCACTCAAATCATCTCTCCATTTTACATGTGTTCAGTTTGGGGAAGGGTGGTGCTTCTTGCCTCTGCAGTAGTCTGATAATACCTGGCAGCTGCAGCTGCTGGYTGCAAGTTTGCTGGCTGATAGGAGCTACACTGTGAAGGCCGAGATGGGAGCTCTTGGGTCTCGTGCTCTCCCCACGATCACATTTGCCTTGCAGACTTCGTAAGTGTGTGTACACCTGCCTTACGTACTTTGCCTTCCACCTCTCCGCAGCCTGCACGGCTGCTCCAGGCGCGGGTGGGAGGTGGCACTGACCGGCTGCTTTGGTGTGTCCCGCCAGCAGGCCGGGGCCGAGGCACCTTGTCAGGGCACACCAAAAAGAGACTGTCTTCTGTCCTTTTGTTTCTGTGGTTTTGAGTTTTTTTTTTTTTTCACCTCTCTCTATTTTTTTGCTAGGTAGTTTAAAAATAGCTTTTGATATTAGCCTTCCAGTTTTTGCAAACTTCTGAAATACTGATTTCTTAAGTACAAGCTTGGATTTTTGATTTTCCTATACTGGTCTGAGTATTTCTTTCACATTGGGAGACAATGAACTGCCGGTCTGCTTTCAAAAATATTCGTGAACATGCTTATCTTGTCATCCTTACTGATTTTTGTCTATTTTTGTATTGAGGAAGAAAAAAACGAATGAGAACAGTCTGTGCATTTTATAGATAACCTATTTTAATGGAAACTATGTAACRGGTAACTTGCAAATTTTGGAGAACACCAGCAAACTAGTGGAGGAAGAAAGGGATTGCTTACAGGAATTAGAGATTTGTATATATCCTTTTGTAATTTGAGCTATTTTCTGTAGGTAAAGTATTTGTTACATCTACTTGCAGGAGGCCAAAGCTGATACCAACCAGGAATCTGTGCAGCCCTCGGCATCACAGAATGTGCCACGCAACCCGGGGCCTGTCGTGACGTCGGGAGATCCTGAAGTAGACAAAAAGATAAAGAATTTAAAAAAGGTGAGGGGATGTTTCTAATGAATGGCTATTTTATCCCAGAGATAGTCAAGGCTACATTTCAATGACTAAGGCTTGAGTTCAGTGACATAGCACTAACACAGGTAGCAGATTTCCCAAACGTCTTCCTCTTCTTTTCCATCTTGTGAAATAGTAGGAGTCTTCACTTGCCAGGGCCCCTAAAGCCCTTCCCAGAGGAGCATCTGGATGGCATAGAAGACACTGAAACTTATATGGAAAAACAGTCCAGTCTTCTCTTATGAATATTGTTGCTGAATGGGAGGAGGTAGAGCTTAATAGGGGTTATGCTTAGAAAGCAGCTCTGTGCTGCTTTATTCAGGCTGCACTTTACACAGCTGTGAGTGATTGGGAACCTGCTTTGGTTCTGTTTCTCTTCCTCTAATCTTAAGGTTATATTATTTTTTTTTCCTGAAAGTTTTTGAGCAGTGRAAGATAGATGTTGAATCTGAGAAGGGTGAACCATGCTATGTGGTCTGAGTTTCTTTCTAAGCTTTTAAATGGCAAGAGTGCAAAGTTTATTGCCAAGCTCAGGAATTCTTTGACTTAAAGAGTTTAAGAATGGAAGTTGTTTACTCCAGTCTGGGAAATCTTTCCCATTTCTGCATAATGTATCGGGGTTTTTTCTCATGGCATTTTCCTGCTTTTTATATTCCTGTGTTTCGATTAATGTTCCAGACTTTCTGAGGAAGATGTATGGAGCAGGAGGAGAAGTGATAGTGATAGCAGCAGTGTTCATTTCTGCTTCTGGCTCTAGGCCTTCAATCTGACGCTGCATGCTGTTTGTTTCAGAGACTGAGTACTCGTGTTCTCTAGGTTTCTGTTCTTGAAAGACATCTCTTATGGGTGAGAAAATTGTGGATGTATTTTTCAAAATAAGTGTCTTCCCTGCTGAGAACTGGCTCCTTTTAAACCAGGCAACTGCAAGTGCAGGGACTTCTACAGACTGTTTTCTGTTCTTGGTTCACCCGTGTTTTTTCTTTTTTCTTTTTTTCAGAAACTAAAGGCAATTGAGCAGTTGAAAGAACAAGCAGCCGCTGGCAAACAACTAGAGAAAAACCAGGTACTGTTAAGGTGTATGCAGTTTATTCAGGTTGCCACAGTACTTGATCTGTATGGCTTTTAGCAATACTTCTGTTTAAAATCATTTAAAATCATGGCCTCTCTGTATCCTTTACACTTACCCATAAAAATCAGGTAAGTGGAAGAAATTACTTCCAACTTGTCTCTAGAGAGGCAGGCTGCCTGTTGGCAAGTAGTTAGACTGTGTAGAGAGCATATTTGCCGTGTGTTCAGCTGGTGTCCTAACCTCTGTTTCTGTCCCACATTGTCAGCAGATGGGTCATTTGTTCACATACAGCCTTGGTGCCATTGCCACAAAACCCGTGCAGCATCRAATGCTCATACTGACCACATATTGCCAGTGTATGGGGGCTTTACTGTGGGAGCACCACTGTAACTCACTGCAGCATCCCTGTGCATTTCTTGCATGTGTGATCACCACTTCTGGCTTGCAGCACTCTGGCCCAAGCACGTGTCCRTGCTCTCTTTGGACTAAATGCTACAGAGAGAATGACGCACAGCAGTTGTGTTCCAGCTCGTCCTCGCTGTGTCCTCTCTGGGACAGAGCACCTGTCCAAATGGCACCTTAGCTCCATTAGCTCTAGTTTATATGGCAAGGCCCCAAACTGGGGAAGGAGGGAGCCGTGAGTGAGCAGAAGGAAATCCAGCGGCGTCCTGGTGTCTGGGTGCGCGCACGGGAGGCTGGTGAGCCGCACGGAGCTGCTGTGTCTTTGCCTTTGCCACCAGAGCCGGTGCCTGCCGCCAGTGGTGCTCAAAGCTGGAGAGGAAATACTGCTTAATACAGCCCATTTTCTCTAACCATTACTATTTACACTATTTACTTAAGTCACTTTGTTTAAGCAATTTTTTGAGCTTTATTTTGTAAACAGYTTTTTTCTGATATTGCTGGATATGATGTAGTAGTGCTTAGGGAAGACTTGTTTTGGGAAAAGTCTATTTTAACTCATTTTCCTTATGAATGAAAATATCTGAGAGCTAATATCTGTCAATATCTACAAAGATCGAGTCGTATCTGGATCTTCTAGACAGCCTTGTTCAGAACAATTACAGAGTGATCCTTTGTGCTTGTGTTACATGGTTGCTGGATTTAAAGCTTTTGGCAAAAAAAGTTGGTTCTGCAGGGAGCATTTGTGAAGACAGAGAATTTATCTACTACAGAAGGCAAAGTCGTCTTCTCCAAGAAGGGCTACAACAGCCCTCCTCTTTGTGGAAGGGCTGTTTATACTCTGCTTCTGCGGAGAATGTGAGAATGAATGTGAGAATGAATGTGAGAATGTGGACCTGTTTGCCCTTCTTCTCATCCAACCCCATTTCTGGCCTTTAACAGTATGTTTTTAATCTCTCATTCTCCTGTAGACTGGAGTTGCATATGACTTTGTTCTACCTTCATAAATATTCTTCTGATTTTCCCATCTGATAAGCTAGATCTGTGATATCTCATGTTTTTCTTTTTCTAGCTCGAGAAAATTCAGAAAGAAACTGCTCTCCTTCAAGAATTAGAAGATCTAGAACTGGGTCTGTAAAGCTCTGTGTGAATTCAGTGGGGCTTTAACACAAAATTCATGCAAAATATGTGTATTAACTTGAACACAATAAAATGTTTCAGCAAATAGAATGCAAAAGTTTACAGATTTGCTGCACACTTACCTTTCTAAAACCTTTCATAAAGATTTGTGCACATGCAAAATTGTAAACAAGTCGTGAATGTCACATCAGCTGGTTCTGTGGCTATTTAAAACAGAAATGTGCTTATGTTCTAAAAGCATTTTGCTTAAAAAAACAGAAGCATGTTGGTTTGTCTTTCCCTTTTCTGGGGTGAGGAGGGAGAGGAAATGAGGTTTTACCCCATTTGATAGCTTTATTCTATTTAAAAAGACATATAGTCTTCATGCAGCAATAGGATGTAGACAAAAATAAAGAGCATTTAATAATCAAAGTACTTCTGTTCTTTTGTTACAAGGGCAGCTTTTAAATTCTAACAAGGCCATGTCACCAAGATCAAAGATATTTCACTGCTCAGGTTAAATGAAGTTTCAAATACTGCAGCTGCTGTGGTGACCTTTGCACGATTATTACTGTTTGTATTTCCATTTTCAATATTGTTTTTACCCTTTCTTTCCCTCTGATCCATCATTTGTAACCCTTAAAGGACTAAATATGCAGAGAAAAGATGGTCAGGTGTTTATTACATTATGTTGTCAAAATCACGCACACACAAAAAAAGATTTGCTAATCCTTTGGAGTAATATTAGGCCCAGTTCTGTACTATAGTGCCTGTTACATGTTAGTCTCTCACTGGAGAATTGGGCAGTAGTATAAATTTGCCCTTTAGTTTTATGTATTTAAATGCAACATCAGTGAGCTTTTTCAGGCTGACAGTACCCTATAACCGTTAAATTCATTATTTTATGAGTATTTTTGCATCCTTCAGCGTTTCATAGAACTCTTTTTCCAGGACGGACTTCACAGTCATGATTTAGTAATAAGTGGTGTACATGTTTGCCGCTTTGGTTATGCAATAAATAAAAAGGAAGGGTTTTTTCCTATTAAATGTTGTGAACATAGTGGAGGTGTGAGGAGCTGAATGCTCCCGCATCCCTCGTGCCTCAGTTGCACCCCAGCCCCATGTGGTTGCGGGCTGCAGGTTGTGGGGTGCAGGTTGCGGGCTGCAGGCTGTGGGGTGCAGGGTGCAGGCTGTGGGGTGCAGGTTGCAGGTTGCAGATTGTGGGGTGCAGATTGCGGGGTACATGGTGCAGGTTGCGGGGTGCAGGTTGCAGGCTGTGGGGTGCAGGTTGTGGTGTGCAGATTGCAGGGTGCAGGCTGTGGGGTGCAGGTTGCAGGCTGTGGGGTGCAGGCTGTGGGGTGCATGGTGCAGGCTGTGGGGTGCAGGCTGTGGGGTGCAGGTTGTGGTGTGCAGATTGCGGGGTGCAGGCTGTGGGGTGCAGGTTGTGGTGTGCATGGTGCAGACTGTGGGGTGCAGGCTGTGGGGTGCAGGYTGYGRGGTGCAGGGCGCAGTTGTTGCYCTAGGGCTGCACCCCAGGGCTCCTCTTCCGGGGGGTGGTGGGAGAGCCCGGCGGGTGCAAACAGCAGCTCCGAGGGTGCCCGAGCAAGCGCCCAAGGTGCGAGGGCGGCTGGAGGGTGGCACGTGGTGCGCTGAGGGCGGCCTGGGGCGAAAAACAGGAAAGATGGGAAAAGGAGAAATTCCGGCGCGCGCCCCAGGCTCCCTGCTGCGGCCCCTGCGGGGCGCGCGC